TTAGACGCTCTCGTCTATCGAGGACTGAGAACCAAACCCGTTTTGAGAACCCATTGAGGGTGGAGGCTGAGGTGGGAGTGGTCCTATAACAGGATGGTATCCTTTATCTGGAGTGTTGGCCAATAGGGCGGAGACATCTTCATTGTCACGGGATCCATCACTATTGAAAATATTCACAAACTAAATCTTTCATATTTCAATTGAAGAACTGAGAGAGAGAGAGAGAGGAGTATATTATTAATTATACATAATATTTACTTGGACAATATTTCATGTATTAATACTAGTCCAGCTGTATATAATTTAAATATACTGTATAAACTAATAAATGAAATATACTGAGAGAGAGAGAGAGTAAAATTATATTTATTATTATTACTTTGATTATTAATTGGATTAAATTTTGATGATTAATGTACATCAAATCTCGTAAAACCACACCCACACTAATTACCCCATCAATCACCTTATCCTAATAATAGTAACAATATTAATAATACATTAATTACATCAGTATTACTTCATTTGTTTCCTTTAGTTTATCCATGTACCAAACGTCTCTGGAGACCGAGACAGACTCATTGCTTGATGATCTATCGCTCGTTTCAAACCATCAAACCAACCTGTGATCACGTGATCAATGAGTAGTGTCACGTGACTGGGTACCTTGTGATATATCAAGAAGATTGGTTGCTTCTGATCCTAACTGATAGGGATGTATAAAGAGACAGTGTTTGGATTATTCACTTCTTCTAATAGCCTCTCAAAGTCAATGTGTGTCTCCATTACACTCAGCATATCTTCTAAAATACTGTCCATCACTAAACACATGTGACCACGTGTTTAGACTTAGATTTTCAATTTTTATTATTCCTTTTATTAGATCTAGAAGTAGATAATACGGCACAACCTTTTAGGTGGGGCTCAAGAATTAGGGTGGGGCTCAAGAATTAGGGTGGGGCTCAAACTTAAGGTCAGGGAAATCAATACACCTTTCAAAAGAAGGTATTTTTTATATATTTAATGCCTCACAAGTCACTGCATTCATTACAGCTATTGTTGTCTGGTCTACTGCAGTCGCTCTGCTGTCTTAAAACAAAAGAGGAAGAGGTATCTGATAGTTTGAAAGTGGCCATTTTGAATTTTAGCAAGTTAATACAGGAAATTTTGTAGAAACACAGTCCCCTAGTATTATGAGATATAATTTTGAGAGTCATTTATAGGAAGAGCTTTTTCTTCAGGCCATTTCAATTAATTCGATCAAGCAAATTTCCTTACTTGTTCATTTGTGTGTGGCCTGTGTCTGGTTTTAAATTAATCATTACTATTAATGGTTATATCCTAGTGGTCAGGAAAGGAGAAACTATGAATTGACTAAGCAAGTCATGTTTTTTGTATTCTCATTAAATTTTATAATTTAAATGACTTGTGGTTTTCTGGTTTGCTACAGTCTACTATTGCATGGTGTTTATGAAGAGGAAGAACTTTTATGAAGAGCTTTTAGATTTGAGGAAGAACTTTTCTTCCCTAAAGGCCTTCATACACAGGCAACTTGTTGCTAGCAACATTTGTTGTTAGTTTGATCTGGTAATTAAGCAACATATTGCCAACAATAAAAAGATGTTCTGTTTTGGCAACATTATTGTTGTTAGAAGGCCTTAAGCCATTCAAATTAAATTCATTGTTCTCCTTTTATGTTGATATAGATGCAAGCATTTTAATTATGTCTCAAAGTTGCGTGGTATTTATGTAGGTAGGAAAGAAAACTATGAGAGTGCTCAATTTTAAATCAAAAGTGTGGGTATTTGAGCTTTCGAATGTACAGTATGCTTTAAGTTTATGCTAGAGTTGAATCAAATTCAAATTCAGCATGATAGCCAGAAGTAGTTTGACCGTCAGTTCAGTTATTTTAATGCAATAGCAGCAATGAGGACAAATATGAGTAATACACATAGGTACAACCTTGCAAATTAATGATGAGGGGCTAATACTAGCCAATACCTTTTCTGCATCATTTATATGACAAATCTTGATCATCTGGGTAATTAAACTCATACTTCTCTTATATCACAGGTCGAAAGGATTCTTAATAGATATGGCAGAAAATGTAAGTCATATCACATGTGAATGTGTCATTTTATTCTTTTCTTCTATGATACCATTGTGACACTTTATTAAACTGTGTTATTCACAATCTTTTAGGAAGTAAGTCACGTCACATCTGAATGTGTAATTTTATCCTTTTCTTCTATATCATTGTGATACTTTACTAAACTGTGTTATTCACAATCTTGTATAGTATGTAAGTCACGTCACATGTGAATGTGTAATTTTATTCTTTTCTATACCATTGTGATACTTTACTAAACTGTGTTATTCACAATCTTTCAGAAAGTAAGTTGTGTCACATGTGAATGTGTAATTTTATTCTTTTCTTCTATGATACCATTGTGATACTTTACTAAACTGTGTTATTCACAATCTTTCAGTTCGTAAGTCATATCACATGTGAATGTGTAATTTCATTCTTTTCTTCTATGATACCATTGTGATACTTTACTAAACTGTGTTATTCACAATCTTTCAGGGAGTAAGTCACATCACATGTGAATGTGTAATTTCATTCTTTTCTTCTATGATACCATTGTGATACTTTACTTAAACTGTGTTATTCACAATCTTTCAGGAGGTAAGTCACGTCACATGTGAATGTGTAATTTTGCTCTTTTCTTCTATGATACCATTGTGATACTTTACTAAACTGTGTCATTCTCAATCTTTCAGAGAGTAAGTCACATCACATGTGAATGTGTAATTTTATTCTTTTCTTCTATGATACCATTGTGATACTTTACTAAACTGTGTTATTCACAATCTTTCAGAGAGTAAGTCACATCACATGTGAATGTGTAATTTTATTCTTTTCTTCTATGATACCATTGTGATACTTTACTAAACTGTGTTATTCATAATCTTTCAGCCAGTAAGTCACATCACATGTGAATGCGTAATTTTATTCTTTTCTTCTATAATACCATTGTGATACTTTACTAAACTGTGTTATTCACATTCTTTTAGTTCGTAAGTCACATCATATGTGAATGTGTAATTTTATTCTTTTCTTCTATGATACCATTGTGATACTTTACTAAATTGTGTTATTCACAATCTTTCAGTCAGTAAGTCACATCACATGTAAATGTGTAGTTTAATTTATTACTATTATGATACGATCATGATCCTTTACAAAATTTGTGTTATTCACAATCTTTTAGGATGTAAGTCACGTCACATGTGAATGTGTTATTTTATTCTTTTCTTCTATGATACCATTGTGATACTTTACTAAACTGTGTTATTCATAATCTTTCAGAAAGTAAGTCACGTCACATGTGAATGTATAATCTAATTCTTTTCTTCTATGATACCACTACGATACTTTACTGAACTGTGTTATCTTTCAGATAGCTGTCGTAAGTTACGTCACATGTGAATGTGTAATTTTATTTTTTTCTTCTATGATACCATTGTGATACTTTACTAAACTGTGTTATTCACAATCTTTCAGAGAGTAAGTCACATCACATGTGAATGTGTAATTTTATTCTTTTCTTCTATGATACCATTGTGATACTTTACGAAACTGTGTTATTTACAATCTTTCAGAGAGTAAGTCACATCGCATGTGAATGTGTAATTTTATTCTTTTCTTCTATGATACCATTGTGATACTTTACGAAACTGTGTTATTCACAATCTTTCAGCCAGTAAGTCACATCACATGTGAATATGTAATTTTATTCTTTTTATATGTACTTAGCCAGTAAGTTGTGAGATATGTGAAGTTAATTTTTTAAGAAATAGTTCCTGGCATTAATTTTATAGGATTTAAGTAAGTAAATTGCCAAAACTACCCATAATAGGCTATATACATGTATTGTCATAATACTTATGCATACACCACTGACTTAATTGCTTGTAAGACACTTTGAATGGTTTTCTATTATTTTTATATATGTATGCAAGAATTATTGATGTTGATACCTATAACCTGTTATCCAAATACTAGCTGTTTATGAAAGAGCTCTCAAAGAACAAGGAAGTGCTGATGTAGCGTATGCTCGTCTTATGTTACTGGGATCAGCTGGTACTGGCAAGACATCTCTCAAGCGTTCATTAATGGAAGAACCTTTCAATCCTCATACTACAAGCACCATTGTATCTGATGTATCCTCTGTACGACCATTTGGACATGAGTGGCAAACAATGAAAGAAAAAAAATGGAGAGAAGCCACAGAAGAAGATGAAATTGAAGAACTTGCACATTTGCTTGGATCCAGTCATTCTAAACCATCGTCACACCATGCACTTAAATCACTCTCACGATATTTTTATGATGCATTTTTTTCTATTCGTTCTGAAGTTTCCATTGTAAATGTAGATAGTGGTATCAAATCTATACTTAAAAGAACTAACAGAACACGTAACAAGATGGCAAAATTAGTTGTTCAAGTGAGTAATATGTGTACTGTACTCTATTTTGTATTAATTTTTAGCCATTTCTTCATATATGGGATTGTGGTGGTCAGCCAGTGTTCCTTGAGATTCTCCCAGCCTTCCTCACTCCTCGCACAATGTTTCTCCTCCTGTTTGATGCTTCAAAGGATATCAAGGAAAGATGGCAGTCACGTCAGAATACTCCTGATGGTGAAATGCTGTTTGATGAGGTAGTGAATGAAAGCACGAGTGATCTAATGGCCAAATGGATGTCTACAATACACAGTCACCTCGTGAAGCACAACAAAGATGATACTTCTCCTAGTCTCTATTGTATTGGCACTCGTGGTGACAAGCTAAAAGCAAAATGGAAGAGAAATCAAGTAAAGAAGCAAATCCAGTTTCTGTTTGAGAAGAAAGAGTTCTCAGATCTTATTAAAGATGTGCTAATCATTGATAATACGACCTCAGGCAGAGGTGAAAAAGAAGATCCAAGCATAAAAAAATTACGCAAAGCTATTGGTGACTTTATTGAAAAGTTAGTTGTTCCAACACCTGTCAATTGGGTTCTTTTTCGTAAAGCTTTTCAAGAGCTAAAGCAGAATGTCATTAGTGTATCTGATGCTATTGCCATTGGAGTGGCATGTCATATACCAGCAACTGATGTTCCTGAAGTATTGAAATTCTACCATGAGCTGGGAGCTGTACTATACTATCCTCAAATAGAATGTCTGAAGAATAAAGTAATTCTCAATCCAAAATGGTTTGTTGATACCATTGGGAAGGTATTCACACTAGAAGGATGTGAAGAAGGATGGAGTGGAACAAGAAGATGGTATGTGTTAAGAAATAATGGTGTTCTTGTTCAACCACTCTATCAAGAAGTATGGCAGTCAAGTGGTATTGATCCAGAAGAAATAATTGAACTTTTAGTTCATTTTCGTCTTGCAGCTCAAGTTCAAACTGAGCTTTATGATAGCAGATTCAAGCAGTATTTTCTTCCAGCAGTGCTACCAGGATACACAGGCGATCCTAATGAAGTACGACCTGGTTTTAAGCTAAGAGCCTCACCTGTGCACATTACATTCTCCACTGGATATGTACCTCCTGGCTTCTTCACTCGTTTAGCAACTGCTGTTGCTACTAATGCCAATGTTGAGCTCAATTTTGAAAGTGATTATACTTATGCTGTACCTGCGTCTGGTTTCTTTAATCAACTACTGAATCGAACCTCTAAAGTTGAAATAAGAAGTATTTATCGTAATCGTGTCTGCTTCTCATATGGTCATCCTTCTGATGATTTTGTTCTCACTGATGTTAATAAAGCTATTCAAATTGATGTGTTGCGATATGCCCCTGAGAGTAGTCATCCTGTTTCTCTCAAATTAGTTTGTCAAAAAATATTGAAGTTATTGGATGAATGTTGCCAAAAGGTTGAAAAAACTCTTCACCATGGTCACAATCCTCATCAATCATCAAGAAGAATACAATACGTTTGTCAGTGCAGTCCTTCCAGTGACATCCATTACATTCAAGACATCGGCGCTGAAAAGACAAGCTCTGATCCTGTTTACTGTAAAATGGAAAGAATTCCTCGTTCCTTAACCATCAAGGAGTCACTGTGGTTCAAGGAAGAAAGAAAAAATTTAGAAAAAGAGGTACATGTATATAACATTAATACATGAGCTTTGCATTATTATAATTTTAGACTCCACCAGCATTGAAAGATGCTAATAATGATGATACTAGTAAGTATATGCTGGTTTCTATGAGTGTTGTTTCATATTTTTGTGCAGTTCCAAAGACTAAATCAGCAAATGAGGCCAGTCACTCTTCAATTACTCAGATCAGCAAGTCCAAAGATGATCAACAAAAAGGTACACATGATGAAGCACTTACTCTCACTAATTTATTTAAATAGTTTTATTGAGTATCAGGAATCTAGCAGAGATATTGGAAGTGTTAAAAGATGGTCACTTTCAAACTACTAAATGGATTGATCTTGGTCTCCACTTGGGTCTGTTTTACGATGATCTCAAGACAATTGAGACTAGATACAATAGAGATCCTGACCAATGCCTTAGAGAATGTTTAGCATCATGGCTGAAAGGTAGCTTTGAAGCAACATGGGACAGATTAGCTATTGCTGTTGGTAAAGTAGGAGAGACAACAGCTGCTACTTATATAAGTGAGATTATTAATTGATACATTATGATTATTATTATTACTGAATAATAGGATCAAGAAAAGAACTTAAATAATGTATCAATTTTAAAATGAGCATTGGAATTATTTTAGTGGTTGCTATTTTTCTATTAATTTACTGCTGGTATACATGTATTATTTTCATTTATTTATGCACTGGAATGTTTTAAGTAGTTATTATAATACATTGTAGAATGACATCAGTTTAGCTGCTAAAATATTTAAATGTTCTGTGATTTATATTCTGACTTAAAATGTTACTATTTAAGCCCAATTTTTTTAATTTTTGCAACATCTTAGTACTCTGCAGCATCTTAGTACTCTACAGCAGTGCTGCCTAAGAATTTGTATCCATACTTGTAATGTGTCCTTTGTTTCTTTCAAGTTATTAATGGATGTTATTTAGCACAATGCTGGTGAATAAGGAAGCAGTTCCTGTCACAAGTAGTCAGTGTATATTGATATTTCCTGAATAGAGTCCAAATATACTTCCATAAAAGGAAAGACATCTTGGAAATGTTGACAGAATCTTGTCTACAGTACAAACACTACACTAACCTTTAACAAAGCACATATAATGATTCACTGCAGTAGTGGGTGGAAGTTCCATTTAAAAATATGTACATTACATTTACATGTATGTGTTCACAATATTCATATCTAGAGCTGAGATTAGTTCCACCCAATGGTAGATACTATTATGATATCACAGTCACTATATGATTTTATGATGATGTCATTAGTTAGTTATGGTAGCTACAGCATTAAAGTATTCCAATAATAGAATATCAACAGAATGAAGTACATGTACATGTACAGGTAATGGAACTGACTGTACACATAACTGCATGTACATGTATCTATGAAGCTTGTCTCTTCCTATCTATTTCTCAGTCTCTCTCTTATAAAAATTACTCTCCAGCTGTAGAATGACCTGGTTGTGCATCATTGTCATTTACTACTAGTAATTTCTACTCCTCCATTCCACTGGATATCACTATGAGTGGATCTAACCTCTTGAGAAATGCAACAATAATAATAATAATAATAATGTTATTAAAGCAATAAGACAAGCAAACAACACGAGTAGTTCCAAGAAAGAGAGAGAGAGAGGAAGAATGATAAAGAGTATATTATAATCACAATATCAAGTCATAATTATTATTATTAATTATTATCAGTGGCTATTATTGTGTACTTTATTATCAGACAACGGTGCTTTGGGTGTTAGCAGCTGCCGATAATTCAAAATTAATCTTAGCCCCGCCCCCTCCTCCTCCCCCACTGTGATTAGACCCAAAGGAATGGATAGAGTTACGATCCTCACCACCAGAAGTTAGATCATCAGCACTAGCAGATACCTTTAAAATAAAAGAACAACAATGTCTATCACTGCCTTTATGAATATAGCATCTTGTCAGTGGATTTTCAAGGTGCTCCAAGATTTGGCCAAAGTCCCCGGACTTTGTACTGGTACAGGGTGATTTGTCAAAAATTTTTAGGAGAGAATTTTCTGTTTTTATAATTTTTTCTGATACATATACAAGTTCTTATGTTATGTAGAAAGTTTGAGCTGATTCCAATCAAATTTGAATTTTTTACGAATTTTTAAAGTTGCTCAAAAATTGGGTCAAAGTCCCTGTACTATAGTACAGGGGCGTTGGCCAAATTTCGCCAAAAATAAAAAGTTGAGAATTCTCCATTTTTATAATTTTTCCTTATACATATACATGTTCTTATGTTGTGCAGGAAATTTGAGCTGATTCTGATCAAGTTTGGATTTTTTTACAAATTTTTAAAGTCGCTCCAAAAGCCATATGCTATAATAAGGCTTTCAGCTCATGAAGCATAATACTTTTTAGCTCACTTAGCATGCTTTGTGGGAAACCCTGATGTCCTTATCCTTATACATGTACATGTACATATAGAAGTTTCATTTATTGTCCACTCACTTTAAAATAATTTGGTGTCAGACCATCAGCTGACGAATCGGAACCAGGCGACTGACGGAACATTCTTGAT